ACAGGGGCGACAACAATATACGTCCACATGAAAATGTGGGCGTATAGAAATACTTGACTGATGTTTAACAACTAAAGAAAGAACTGCCCTTAGAAATAAAAAGGGATTGGAGAGGTGGTTGCAAAAAATCTCCCAGTGGGTAAGCGAGTGATGAATGAAGACTATTTCTGTGGTCAGAATCGTCAGTATAATGCAGACTGGCAGCCAGTCTGTCAGCTGTCACATGATTATGCTCCGTAAAAATTTTACTTGACAATACAGTAAACGTCGGATATCTGATAAGTCGGATCTTTGCTCAACTCGAATAAAATCATTTGGACCCTTTGATCCTGCACGCTTTTCTTATTAAATTTATGTGTGTAAGTCAGATTTCCTAAGTCAGATCTTTGCTCAACTCGGATCAAAATGTTCAGTCCATTTGATCTAATTCCGGCTTTTTTCCTTTGTCTGAGTCAGATCGGCATGTTGTTTAGAATTTGACTAAGTTAATTTCATCTCGATGGTCTAAAACACGGTTAGCTACTTTCACCTGTCATTTTGACTCAAATCAGCCTATATGACGTGATGCAATAATAGAATTTTAGCAGAAAATTCGAAACTCGCTGTCTGTGGTATGAGACACTTTCTGGAAAAATTTATTACATTTTTCAACGATGGCAACAAAATGGAAGTTATCTACTCGCACATACGAACAAAAGCTTGAAATGTGCATTTGAATCAATTATTATCTGGCTCTTGCAGTTTATTTCTAATTGAACTAAGATTGAATTTCAGTCTTCGGCTAACTCGGATCTTCACTTAACTTGGATAGAATTGGTCAGTCCACTTAGATCCGACTTATGCGAAGTTTACTGTATGTACATTAAACAAAATATTGTAAAATATATGATTATCATAAACACATAATCTACAAGATAACTGCTGGAAATTTAAATTTAGAGAGTAAGGGGAACCTTAATCCATTCAAGTCAGACACAGATTCCCTTTCTAATTGCAATTTTAGCAAAATAAATTAACCCATTAGAAGCTGATATGCCATTAAGGCCATCATTTACTGTAGGCTAAAAATATTGTCCGTTTATGGTCCTTTGATATGAAAACCTACTAGAAGGTAATTATTATGGACGACAACATTAAAGATTGCCGTCTGCCGCCGATCAATATTAAATCCAATAAAAATACACCCATTTGGCCATTTTTAGATTAATCTTTTTTATAACATTGTCTTTTATACTCTTCGGTTAATTATCATCTTGTTTTTGATGTTCGAAGCATAGCCAACGTGAAATAAAGGCTTTGTTACTTGTCCCTTTCATTTTGTTAATTAAAGATTAAGAATAGAGACATTTTACTATTGTTCCCTATAAATACATAGTTAGGTTTACAGTAAATGTAACCACACAGGTCATCTAAATTAACATCCTGAAATGGACAAGAATAGAGCTCAATATCTTGTGTTTCATAATTTCCAATTATCTAATGGATAAAAGTGATATAACCAAACTTCAGCATGCCAATTTTTAGCACACGTTGTATATTTACGTCACTTTGATACTAACATCCAGTAAAAAATCTGTAAATAGGCGAACAGCCTTCCCAGATTTCTCTTAGGAAGCTACTAGTTTCATTCCATTCAAACTCTTCAGGTTTGATTCAGGATGTGCGGTTGCGCTCTATATAGACCGTGGGGACCGGAGCACATGTGATGTCACAAGTGGACCGGAGTCGATCATTAAAACCAGAGTCGTTTATTCCAAAAAATGTGGAAAGATGTTTGGCTAAAAAATTGCCATCTTTATTATGCATAGACTCTAGGCTCCCAACTCTTTTGACTTTTATGTTTAAAATTTTTTATAAACTAATGTGGGTTTTTGAATAACTCTATTAGGTTATGGGGGATATATGCATTAATTTTTTATTAGCTTTCGCTATGGGGGTACCACAGCTAAATAAATTGAGAACTCATCACGATATTCATTTTCTGCCTTGAGTTAGGCTAAGAATTATGCTGCTATTTCGCATACTTTGAAAAGTGGCTTGTGGGAAGTCTTCTTGAATTCTACAAGGAGCTCACGAAATTGTTTTTGTGTTACTCGATTGAAATGTTGTAAAAAGACTGTCTTCTTTACTGAGATTTGATTCTGCCAAATCATTGTGATTCAATGTGTGAAAAAATGTACAGGCCTCTAGTTCGAGGGAAGGATCAACTTCTTTTCCGGTGTCAGGTTTTCCGGTGTCAATTAAGATCATTCAACCGTTCGTAATTTTGGTTGCATGTGAAAACTTTGGTAAAGCCGTTTTAAGTTGTATGAACGTGTGAAAACCTCCGGGACAAAGTCCACAGACGTCCTTCATTTTCTAAAACAGGAATAGCAGTGACGTCACGGGTGATCTCTAAGGCTAATTGATGACATAATGCCAAGTGTTTTGAGCAGAGTCTATAATGAGAGTTCCAAAAATGGGGGTGCACGAGAGAAAAAGCTAACAGAATTTTAAGAAAAAAGTGCAAAAGGGTCAGTGGGGAAATAGAGTAAACAATAAAGTGGGGGACCCTTCGGGACTATATCTTATCGTTGATGCCATCCCGTGCGAATATTCTTAAAAAGTGAATCCATTTGAATTCATTGGCTTTTCGGATAGCATTATTTTTGCCTTTATATTTGTCAGTCTTAAAAATCTTTATAATTTTAATCATAACATTTCTACTCGTATGTCCTTTTAAATTGCAGTGTATTGAAAAGGCGTTTTTGCTTTCTCCTATGTATTATTTTTTACATAAAAAGCAGGTTAATAGGAGAGAGAGAGAGAGAGAGAAATGGGGTTTAACGTCCACTCGACACAAACTAGGTCATTTCGGGACTAACATATGGTTTAATTTTATTTCAATAATTCGCTTGCGCATAGGGGTCTTTTTGGCAGTGGGAGAAAACCGGAGGACCCGGAGAAAACCCACATGGTTGGACAGGCGCCCCTACTCCTTGTCACGTACAACCGGGGATTCGAAACCACGCAAGTCGACTCAATGACAGACTTTATGATACAGCGCGCGCACGCTAACCATTCAGCCATCCACCCCCCCCCCCCAGGTTAATAGGTAGAATATGTTTCTACTCAAACAATTAGAAACAGTGCGACAAGAAATTTTCTTTCCAGTTTTACACTAATAAAGTAGTTGTTTTGATCTAATTTATCGCAGATATCACAATCTTTCTTGATACATTTTTCGAAAAATTTTTAACCGTAACTCTGCTCGTTTGTAGATTCCTCAGTGGGTATGTAAGTCTCACTTTCATTAGCGTATCTTTTCGATTAGAGTTCCTTCTAAATGCTGTGATGGGTTTAATATCTGAGATAGAACAGCACATTTCCGAAACAGTTAATAGGTGCCATTTTTCTCTAATGATCATGCCAACATGAACAGCAGTCAGATTATAATCCGTGATAAAAACGAGCGACATTCGTTTTTTCAAAATGGTTGCCGTAGTCGGCCAAAACCTTCTCAATTTTATCTTAAAAGGGGCTATCCACACAAAGTAGTGACCGATAATAAGAAAGATAGGTTGCTAGGCAACGAAACATACGCCCACAGCAGCTAATTCGTCCAGGCAGTCAACAAGAGTTGTTGCATATTTTTACTTTTTTCGGTAATGAACCATTTATAATACACTAAAATCTGATTAAGAGTAACAACTCATTAAGTAATTATCAGAAAACCATTAGAATTTGTTTGGTTTTTATAAAATTCTGCCCCATGCTAACATTTAGTACAAGAAACTTTTAATATCATGGATTTAGCAGTTCACGTTATAAAAATTCATTGAAAATCAATATACTTGTTCGTCTCAAGACCTTAAACTCTGTGCCTCCAGAGCATCCAGAAGATATTTTGAAATGATCAAGGGCCATAACTCTGGCAGTAATTATCGTAAATCGCTGAAACTCTGTGCCTCCAGAGCATCCAGAAGATATTTTGAAATGATCAAGGGCCATAACTCTGGCAGTAATTATCGTAAATCGCTGAAACTCTGTGCCTCCAGAGCATCCAGAAGATATTTTGAAATGATCAAGGGCCATAACTCTGGCAGTAATAATCGTAAATCGCTGAAAATCAATAGGCTTCTTCGTCTCGTGACCTTAAACACTGTGTATAAATTTCAAGTCAATCGGATATTAACTTTGGCCTCCAGAGTGTCCACAAGATTTTTTGAAGTGATCAAGGGCCATAACTTTGACAGTAATTAACTTTGACAGAAAATCAATAGGTTTCTTCGTCCAATGACCTTAAACACTGTATATAAATTTAAAGTCAATTGGATATAAACTTTAGCCTCTAGGGCGTCCACAAGATTTTTTTAAGTGATCAAAGGCCATAACTGATGTTAGGTATTAGACCTAAGATGGGACAAAAATACTTTTAATTGTCTTCACACTTCATTCAGCTCTTTTATTCACTGTGCTGAAGCACTAAATACGGCCAGCAAAAAGAAAAACAATCTTTTAGATATTTTTGGACTTCATTCAACACTTTGGTTGAGTATTGAAGTACCTGATGGGGCTTCTTGGACTACATCTGAACTTTAAGCTATCCATATTGTACATCCATATATGGTCTGACACAGACATCTCTGAAAGTGCTAACGTTCTCTTAGCAATGTCAGTTATAAGCATGCATACATTATTTTTAAGTTTTAAATGTCAGACATTTTGAACTACTCAAAATTTATCAATGGGGCCAGTGAATTGTCTTTAAATAGTAATTAGGACTGTCTATCCAGATATTAAAGTGACAGCCTTACATTATGCTTGTGAGATTCTGTTTAATTTTAAATAATTTGCAAGCAAAGAATCTTTCCTTTAGATTGAAAATGTTCTATGCAAGGAGAGATTTAAATCAAAAAACCTTTATTCTTAATGCTGCTGGACCTCACCATTAATTATAATTAAGTAATAAAAGGGAGATTTAATACCTCAAAATCCATATTAATTAAGATAAAACTTACTTGACAGTTGTCCATTTCTAGAAGCTACGCTACTGTCATCTTTTGACTTCTCAGGTGGGTTGGCAACTGAAAAACAAAAAATATAAATCCTCAGTTGTATTAATCCAATCAATAAGTACATATACAAGTCCCTATTCCAATTAAATTAATGGAGGTAAGGCTGGACTACAACGAATCATCACTCTAAATCAAAATTCATTAACATTTTATATTGAATAAGACTTAATTGAGATCTATTTTATTGACTTGTTATGAGGAGTCAAAACTGAAGCCAAATCTTTTTCCTTCTGCAAGTATTTGTGGTTTTAAACTTTATTTAAAGGGATTTTGTACAAAAAGAGTTTTTCTCCATTCTCCCAAGGCATGATCTCAAGATATTCAATAAATGTTATTGTACAGAATCAAGTGCAAAATAATATGATGTATGCCTTAAGGAAATTGCTCCACAAAATGTAGAATGTTATGGGAATGATGCCATATTGGGTGTATGTGTGCTGTAGCTAAGATTCACAGGACAAGTTGGGAGAACATGAATGAATATTAGAGGTGAATACAGATACCTATGTACATGAGCTGAAATGATGATTTTTTTACAGATAAGTCATGTTTCATAATATAATTGTCCTGTAGTATGTATGTCAAACTACAGATCAGTTTCCATAATAAAACCAGTTTGACCGCCTTTAGTTTTAATCTGTGTTCCCTTTGATGTTTTTCATTGTTGCTACAAAACAGTACTTCCTACAGAAAAGTGAGACATAGTAGGGTAGGTTGTCGCTGAGCCAGATTAAAGGGGGTGGGGGCTGACTGGACGGCAGCCAGGGACCCCAATATCAAAGCCTCCCCACCAAATGAGTTCTAAAAATAAATATTAATTGTGCCTCAAATAAATATCTCATATGTTATGGTAGAGTTTAACAATGGGAACATTAAATTTTTGCAGCAACCAGGTAGCATGCACCAGAATATGCCCCTTTTTCAATGTTGATGCAAGGGCCCCAGCCGGCCCCAGTCACCCTCAGTTATATTTTCAGTAAGGGGCCCCATGCAAGTTTAATCTGGCCTGGGTGGTTGATCCAAAATTCCTGTCTATCTTTCAGATAATCATGCTATATGAACACGATACGCAAGAATACAATAATGTTTAAGTAACAGTACATGGAAATAGAATTTCTATTTTTTATAAACAAATTAATCGATTTTTGGATTTTGAATTTAAATATTGAACTTTTGCAAATTCAATCACAATATAGTGTTGTTGATTACATTATAGTGAAGTTCTTGTATAATAGTTTTAATACATAAAATTGGCCCCAGTGTACTTACATATAACATGCTTCTCTAAAACACAAAATTCCATGTGTTCACAAACTTAAAATCATATGATTCATTGAAAGATTCAAGTAGGATATTCCAAATTACAAAAAGTTCCAATTTTCCAACACAATCCACTAGAATATTACTTGGTATATTTTAACAATTGAAATACCCTGCAATGATACTATATAATACCGAGTCGATATTTTGAATCCTACTGCTAAGCACTTATCAGTTTGGTACATCATAACAGACACTCCAAACACTCTAATAGAACTTGTTATAGAATGTACTCATGTACTCCAACCTAAATTATAAATTTTTGTCTGATCTTTTGCAAATCATTCGTCAGAAGATTTATTAATTTTTTCCAGAATAGAAATGAGACATAAATCCCACCACCTCTGTGTACGGTGAGATCAAAGGTTTAATTTGCGAGTAATAAAATCATGATATTATTGGCGGGGGTTGTACATTGCAATGGAACCAATACCGCTATATTGACAAGTGGAATGTAAATTAGCCCCCGAGGGCTCAGATTGACTGCTGATTTCTCTTTGCTTGTTTGTTTGCCTTCGTTGTTTACTTATCGTCGCCAATGATGTCAGCGATTTTTTCATGTTGTGAGAAATAAGTCGTTAGCCCCGATCCATCTTATCCTTTCATGATTCCAAGGCGCCTCTGGCAATAATGAAACCAGCTGACTGGTAGTTCCAATTAAAGCGCCAATAATCCGCCGAGAAGAAACTAAACCATTAATTTCTCCTTGAAAACACTGGTAAATGACGGATATAGTTCTTAATGAAAGAGACAAGCATTCACTTCCAGTTTTAAGTTCAGATTTTGTCATTGTGAGAGGTAATTAGAGACGGCTGGTGACTTGACATAAAACATGTATCATGTCATTAAAACTATGTTGCAACAATGATATTATATTTGTAATATTGTAAAATACTCTATAATACCATCATCGTCGTGCCATCGTTATTGTTATTTCTTAAAAAAACCTTTAATTTTGGAAATTTGTTTTAAAAGTTTCACACCTGACCTGACAACTCTACCGCATCACTCGGTAAAGTTTCTGCGAAAAGGCCTCATGTACCGCTCTACTGCGCGGTAATAGATTTCAACCGGATTTTCAAACAAAGAGTTTTTTAATTTTCTTGCCAAAACTATGGAACTAAGGGAAGCAACTCTTTGCATGTAAACAATAAAGATCGCGACTTTCGGTCATCAAAATCGATTTGGGATATTGTAAGGTATAATTTAGCTAAGAGATTTGTTCTCAAATTCTTTTCAACCTATTTTAGAGTTAATAAAGCGGATATAATTATTGGCACGTGTTCCAAATACTCTTAAAATGCGTAGCAATAAACTAAACAAATAGCGACCAATTTACGGCAGCAATGGCTGACATTTTCGTTTGCGTGCGTACGTACGTACAGCATCTAATACAATACTTTGAATGCAACACAACAAGATGGGAATACGTCTCGACGATTCTGACTTACATGGAACACTCTCTCGAATAAATGTAAAAGCAGATTTACAGAATCACGGGGGAAAAAAATCCCGTACATTGAGAGGATAATTGCCATGGGGAAGCATGATTAAATCAATACCAATATTTAGTAGTTTACAAAACTAATTTTTTACGCCCCCCCCTCTATTCCTAATGTAGAAAAACTATATAATCTTACATGAAACATTGACAAAAACTCTCGGAATGGGGAACACACGTCACAAGGATATTTTAAAATCATGCTAAGTTAAAACAAAAGAAAAGTGGTACTGGTAAGTGATAGGCCTACTGCCAGTACAGTGGACTGGTAATTTTAATTATTTTTTTTATATGTTACTAATTATTTCTTTTTGTAGGCTACATATTCAATTTTGGTTTAATTACATAAATAATTTTAGATATGGTTACCATTGCTTATGTATATTTTATCTATTACCCATTTAATGCAATTTTTGTATTGTTGGGCCTGCAGTTCAGTGTATCATTTCTAAATTAATTACCCTTGGAAGTGCGAATTTACGCGTTTTTGGAAATCTACTGCCAAATCATGGTTTCTACTGCATTTTTTACACTACCCTACTGCATTTCAGCTCTGAGGGGTTGCAGGTCTGTTCCACACTAAAGTTATTCTAATATTGTGGATTCAGTTGTTAAGATTGTAAAAAAATAAAAGAATAGAACTACAAAATCTGTAACAGAAGAATTAATATTTATGTACAGTGAATTCCTGTAAACAGCATGAATTGACCAATGATGAGATCAATGTAGAATCTTAAAATGTGATGTTTGTGATAAGTCATTTAGCCACATGGACATTTGATAGAAAAATAAACTCCAAAATAAAAACCTCCCTCATGCATCAGATTTTTTTAAAAAGAATGTCTGAGAACAAGAATATTTGTTTGTAAAAGGTTATTTAAAAACCTAATCAATATTAGCTTGTGGTTAAGGTTAAGATAGGGTTAGGATAATCCTTTATCATAAATACTGTAATTTATGACATAATCTTTATTGGTAAACACTGTTGAATATGAATAATGCTATCCTATTTTTTTTCTTTGTAAGGCCTTAACTTTAATAGATATTTCTTATTTGTTTTTTGTTTACTTTATGAATGTGAGTCTTATTATTCAAGTTGTTGATGCCACAGTTATTGGTCACCCTATGAATTTTGTTTCAGTAGTTGTTTTTTCTTTTATGTTTTTGTGGTTTTTTTGTTGTTTTTTTTTGTTTGTGAATTTAGTTATATTGACTGGTTGCAAATCTTTGACATAGCTGATCTAGTCTAGAAAATTAATAAGATTCTGTAATATTAGCTAATCATACAATCAGAACCTATACTAAGTGGTGAGCCCATTACCATGTAATCAAGAAAAGCATATAAATTCACGTTCACAATTTACCTATCAAACAGAATTTTTGATTTCAACCTTGACATTTGATGATCCTTAAAGCAGCAGTGTTTAACCTCTGAAAAACATTCCAGCCACTGTGATCAGTAACATTAGAGATGGGGAACAGATACAAGGTCTGAGCCATTCCTTAATTAAAGTCCCGTCTGGAGATTGATGGGAACACAAAATCCGGAATGGTAAATCATCCGACATCTAATTACATTTGTCAATTTATCAGGTCGTAATCTACGATATTTCCCTACAATCTTTCTTATCCCTGTCAATCAAACAGTGTCCTTTTCGCATTTTTCATTCTAATCAAAAACAGACATATCTCCATCCAATTATATTAAAGAAGAAACTGTTTAAATACTTAAACCTGCTGAATATTTGAATATGTTTCTACTGAATGCAATGATTATTCAAAGAAGGTACAATGAATTTTTACATAACCACTCCAAAAACACATTGTCAAAAGAAATTAACTATCTGCAATGCTTGTAATGCTGACAAAAAAAACCATCTTAGAAATGTCCTGAAAATTTGGCCCAGCTACCATTCGCACAATAGCCTTTATCCTCCATTAAATTGTGCACCTAATCACAGCAATTATTAGTAGTTGGTCAATTTTGCTAAAATGTTTAAAACCATTCTATATAATGCACATGTCCAGAAAATAAATTGAGTTTATCCATAATCATTCACTTTGTGACGACCCTGATAAAATTTTTAATCTACTTGATGATACAGACAGAATCATACACCAGACTACATTTCAATATAAAATATCATTACTTTTCAAATTATTTTTCATGTTCAAGTAATATGAAGCT